GAAATTTGCCATTGGCTTCACTCCTGCTCTTACTGATGTCACAATCTCCCAAACTTGCGCTAGATTTCGCAAGTTTCGTTAATTTCCACCTTGTGCACCGCTTTTCATAGCCAAATTCGCACTATTGAGCCCAATAACAAAAGAGATACTACCAACCATGGCAGATGACCCGGTACCACTGATTTGGCGCTGGATACTCTTCAAGGAGTGGCTTCGACGTCTAAGAATCAGAACCCGTAACCACCACGGTGGGCCTAAGAGAAGAGATCCCCAGTCAGACTTATATTACTATTTCAGGACAACGAAACCAAGACCAACGCAGACGGCGGAGAATGCGCATCCTGGGGTGCAGTATTACGCGTAGAAGTAGAGGAACTAGTAGTGGACACGATACGATGCGCGGAGAAGGTCGAAATGATAAACCATAGGCGTAAGCGATGGGAATTAGGAAATCTGACCGAAGACCGCGTGGGTGATGATGACCTCGCTGGCCACCGCGGATATTTCTGTGAGCTGACCATCACGTCTCATCGCAAAATCGTTCTCTCAACCCAAAATCATTTTTCCTCTCAAAACCTTCTTTTGCGTTTGCTGTTCCGCTGTCAACAGCACCATAACAGTGCGTAAGTTGTGCGTGTATTCACGACAATACGCTTGCCATCCAATGCTATAACCCCATCAGTATGTCTGATTTCAAGCTTGTAACGCTCACGAGATGGAGGTCGAAAGCATAGTGGTAATCTGCCTGATCACACTCGTAGTCCTGATCGTCCAAATTATAGTCACTCTCCGGTTGTTCTTGCACCTCCACACGGCTCACAAGAGAGACGAAGAGCAAGGTCTGCAAATCCTGGATACAAGAACTGGGTCTGTATTTGCCCAAGAGAGTGCTGAACCACCACTTCGTCCTGAACTGGAAGCTCTTACAGTGCCTGGACCTGTATATCCTACGAGCTCTATATATAGTGTGCAAAGCAACAACAGCGACGTATCTCCTGGCCCTGAAGATCGCTCTCACTCTCGTGCGCCGGATCCACGGGACGGCATGAGTGCTGCAGGCTGGAGGAGAGATCTCAAAGAATTCTATATTGGCTTAGAGTCTGAGTCTGGAGCTCTCTCTTACGAAACAGCCAGACGTACGAAGAAGCAAGATATTTTGAACGAAATATGGGCGAGGAAAGTATGAGGCTGTTGGGTATTCGCTTAAGCTACTTCTCCTGAAGTCGCGAATAGCTTACTGCATGTAGTGTATGTAGTAGTTCACAATCTTGTCGTATCAGCTTTGCACTAGTCATAGTCAATGTTCGAAGAAAGCCAAACTCAAGCACCTCACTGTCAAGAGCAGCTGGCATAATCCATGATACCAGCCGCCAAACATCCCACACTTCCTCGTGCTTTCCCTTCTTCGTTATCAGAATCGTAGTCGGAATCTACCTCTCGTTGCTCTTGTGGGCCATTCGCAGCTAGAGTATAGAATCTTCACGGGAAGAAGCATGGCATCGCCAGAGCTCGTGTCGGATGGTATCAGTAGCGCGTTACGACGATGAAGAAAGCGATCTTATGGGCACTGGTGTCCAGCAACCCAACATCCATAGCAGGGGCTGGGCTGATGGCGACCACATCTGGGGTGTCACCAGAGGGTAAATCGATAGAAGTTCAGTTTGGTAGGCTTGATTGATGAACCTGTTTGTTGCATGCTAGCGGTGAGCTCGTGGCGGAAGATCAGCAAGCGGCTGCGTTCGCACCGTATGCTGTGGAAATGAGTTTTAGCGTTTGCCTGGAAACTGGATGGCTGGTGGAGGGATTGCCTCTACATTTTTAGTATAGGCGTTGCTTGAGGGGTGCTCGTAAGGGAATGAGGCATCAAACGAGTGGGTGTATGCTATGTAGTCTGATCTGCTCCATCATCGGAAGCTCTATCTGCGGAAACCCTCTCGCATCATTCCTACTGGAGCAGGTTTTGCAGTCTGCACTAAAATACCATGATATTCAAGCCTCAACGCAGCCTTAAGCTTGGACTGTACATGGTTATGGTGACCTGTAGCGTCGCCAAACTACCTACAGTCCCGTTGGCGACTGTAATTAGACAGGAAGTATTCGGTTGGCGGAACAATTGGGTGCTGGATGATTGTCAGGAGAAGCTGAAGATCAAGATATTTGGACATCCTCCACCCAGAGAAATGACGGATGAAGAATATTTCGGGTGGACAGCATAAAATACTGCACTAGAAATGGTGTTGTATTTACAATTACTATACGATGAACAAGTCAGCTGTAAGAATCAAACCAGATACCCGTCTACGCATCCTCGGGTCCCATATCAAAGAAGATGAACTCAGCGGGCTTGTCGCCCACACTCTCAATCTCGATCTTGTTTGGTCCTTTGACTCCGTCGATGTACGCGCCATCGCCTTCTCCCAATACTGTCTCTCCAATTTTGATCTGTGCCCCGCCCTGCTTGGGCTGCGACCGCCCGCCCATAACAAGATGTGCGTAAAGCTTCCTCGGCCCCTCAGCAACGACTTCGTGTACAACCTTCTTGCCCGGAGAGAGAATCGACGCGTCCATGCTGAGATCAGCTTGTAGCCCGATGGCGCCCTTGTTCTGGTCTAGGCGATCTGTGTATTCCATTATCCGGACCAGCTTGTCAGTCTTCTCCTCATCGGTGAACTTCTTCGTCTCATAGTGTGGCTTTAGGCCTCTCTTGTTTGGCTTAGCCCAAATTTGGAGGAAGTGGACTTCAGAGTCGCGGTTACGGTTGTATTCGGAATGGCGGATGCCTGTGCCGGCAGAGGTGAACTGGACTTCGCCACGCTTCAGGTTCTCGAGATTGCCCATGCTGTCTTTGTGTTCGAGGACGCCGTTGACGATGTAACTGAAGATGAGGAATTCGGCGTGACTGTGAGTTCCTAAAGCATTTGTCAGTAACGGCCATGGGTATAATTTAGTGATGGAGACGCCATTTACATACCGAAACCAGTGCCTGCCTTCACCCTATCCTCATTGATAACCCTGAGTGGACCAAAGCTCTCATGTCTGGGGTCGTAGTACGACGCGAACGAGAACGTGTGGTATGTGTACAGCCAATCGTGATCGGCATGTCCGCGTTGCGACCAAGGGCGCTTGGTGACGTTCATTGAAGTCGCGGTCGACATTGCGCGTACGGTAGGTTTGGTAGAAATAGGAAAAAAGATACTACGGAAGGTGCTTGAGAACGCCAGGGTGATTGCAAAAAGCCCTACGATTACTGTAAGTGCCTTTGTAGTAGTTGAGTAAGATGTATCTGCTGTGGTAGAGCGATGTTGAGTTGCTGTGTCTGACATCACGAAAGGGGATTTCCTGGCATCGAACGTGTCTGGGGCTCTTTATAGCTGTCAGTAAATGGACGGTTAGTTCGCGCATCATGCGCATCATTTCGAAGCTCCATTTGCTTCGCGCATAGCATTTGCAATGAGTGACTAAGGCGCTGTAATGCTGCTAATAGAAGAGATGTGGGGAAGGGGGAAGACGCTAAGCTGATTAATGATGGATGACGAAATTGCCCCAATTCTTCATCAGCTAGATCTCATTGGACGCTTGCCGAACAGGCGCCGCGGAACATGTCCGATCAGAGAGCGCTTGCTGCAAGTCATTGCGATTTGGGCATTGCTTATTTACTGCCTTTTAGAGTTGACGTGCAGGTACGAGAAAGAGCTAGTGTAGCAGGATACTAATCTTACTCGTTTTCGTGGCGGGCAAGTGCGAACGTCGATTCCGGACGGGCATCTACCAACATGGCTTTGCAGAACTTTGACCCAGATGCGTTCTTTGAAGATTGGTCCGAAGAAAAGTACTCTCCATCTTGCAGTGAGAAGGTCCTCGCGCAATGTATAGGGGAGTCATTCGGCATCCCGCCTACAGACAAATACATCTATCGGGCACAAGCAGAGACCACACTGCATGCCACACAGAGAGCTATCGAAGCGAAACGAAACCATGGATTGCATGGATGGTATCATGACAATGGTGGAAAACCCATCGAACCACCTCATCCCTCCCTAGAAGAAATCCAAGCTTACACATCCCTCTTCTCTCCCCAAAACAACCTCCCCACAGCGCTCAACAGCTTCGCCAAATCGGCAAAAGCCGACACCCTCCGCAAAAGCATAGGAAATCACCTAAACGACCGGCTCTTCAACAAGTCCACCAATCTGATTCCTTCAAAAAGAGATCCCAAGAAGCCAGCTCGACAGCACAAGAACCCTTATCTGGATCTCTGGAAGTACTCGTGTGAGGAACTGGAGTGGGCTGGTCCTTTACCATCGACTACATACACCCGTATATCCCATCACATTCTGCCAATTTTCTACCATCATTTTGGCTGCGTAGTGCCCTCGTATGCCGCCCTGCATGTCCTAGCTAAACTGGCTCAGCCAGCGAAACCGGCCAAAGAAGATGTGCTCCCGATCTTGGACATTGGTAGTGGAAACGGGTATTGGACTTACATGTTACGCAACTTCCCGATCGCTCACATCGGTACCTCTAAGCCACTCGATGTACGTGCCATCGACAACCAGATCAGCGAGTACCGCGTCTCCTGGATCAAAGACACTATCATCACAGACGGCAAGGAGTATTTGAAGAAACACGATGGCGGCAAAGGTTGTGTTCTGTTACTCGTCTATCCCCAGGCTACAGGTGGTTTCACAGGTCCATTACTCAAAGCTTTCCAGGGTGACAGGATAGTAGTTGCGGGAACGCAGAATGGGAATGGATTTACTGGGTTTCAGGATATGATTGTGGATGAGTGGGTAGAGAAGAATCTCAAGGCATTTGAGCTGACATTGAGGATGCCGTTGCCGAGTTTTGCGGGCAAAGACGAGGCACTTTTTGTGTTTGAAAGGAAGAAGTAGGGACGCATCATGGCTGATGGAAGCAGAGATTGTATCATACAGCATATTGTAGCTGCTTATGCTCATCATTCATGTAGTAGGGTATGCTAATAGCTGCCTTGCTTTCCTCTACCACTTGGCTTCCTTCCTTGCCAAAAACTCGTTCAGGATAGCGAGGAGCTTCTCCAACGCTGCGAGCCACTGTTCCAGCTCAGCCTGGACCTTGCTGTCATCATCGCCAAGCTTGCTGTAGAAGTCCTTGCGGTAAGGTGTAGCGCTCATGGCAGCGCTGAAGACGGGCTTGACCATGAAGGAGTGGTGGGGCTTGAGTGTGTTGCCGTAGGCGTCGCGGAAGGAGTCGGCGAGCTCCTTGGAGGGGTTGGAGATGTTGTGACGGAGACCCTGAGCAGTGAAGTCGAGGCCACTGTGACATGCATGTTAGTGGCATGATGTTGTCGAGTGGAGAGGATGACTTACCGAGTCAGCCACAGGAGACCTTCGGTGGCAGTGTGCTTCTTCTCCTTGAGCTCGTTCAAGCAAAGCTCCTGGAGCGTCTCTGACTGGGCTGGCGCAGCAAGCTGCCTGTCGCGGATTTTCTGCACCGTGTTAGCACCACGCTTCTTATGGCGTCACTTGAAGCTCCCAGCCTCTACGCACCTTGATGTTGCCGCTCATGTCACCCTTGACGGGCTTGAAGGCCACGGAGCCCAGGACATCGAAAAGAGTGGTGGTGCTCTCAGCAGCCTCTAGGAACTCGGTGGTCGAGATGGCCCTGTCCTTGGCCTCGTCGACAGGGACGTCTGCGAAGCTCTTCTTGAGGGTTTGAAAAAAGGTTCCGCCAGGGGGGTATGCAGCTGCCATTTTGGAGTATGTGAGATGTGTAGTGGCGTGGGAAAAGCAATTGAGGCCTGAATGTATGGGAGAGGCGGAAGATGTTTGTATCAGAGAAAGGTGGTCTCGGCCCAAGCGGTGAGCTCTGCTCCGTTCAACACGCGTGGCTTTGGTGGGGCATGCGGCTGCAGTAAGCTAGCGCGGGGAAGGCGCGACGCACAGGGTCTCGACGAGGGGAACATGCAAGCGGCTAACTCAGCTCACGCACCTGGAGAATGTCTTGGGAGCCACTTCGGGACGTAGAATTGTATCCGGACGTACTATGTCCTGCGCGGAGAAAGAATGTCCGATGGTCATGGCCTGCTTGTAGTATAAGACCATCGAGCTTGCTACAGTCGTCTTGCTCGTAAAGAACCATCAATCGGACCCACGATAACGTTAATCGGACCTTCTGATCCTGACCCTGACTATTCCCGAAACCTACGAGCAACGACAACCACTAAGATGCCGTCACATATCCACTCAGTAACAAACATACACCGCATAGCCTGCATTCCAGGCGACGGAATCGGAGTCGACATAACAGAAGCCGCCATCCAGGTCCTCAACGTTCTCGCCAAGACCATTGGCGGCTTCGAATTCGACTTCAATACTTTTGACTGGAGTAGCAAAAACTATCTCGAGCGAGGATGGTATATGCCACCTGACGGCTTGGAGCAGTTGAAGGCCTATGATGCCATATACTTTGGCGCAGTAGGCTGGCCCAATGTTCCCGACCACATCTCCCTTTGGTCACTCATCTTGCCGATTCGAAAGTCTCTAAATCAATATGTCAATGTACGGCCTACACGCATCCTCCCCGGAACCACGTCTCCTCTATCCAATTGCAAACCCGGGGACCTTGATTGGATGATTATCCGCGAAAACAGTGAGGGCGAGTACTCAGGCCAAGGCGGCACCTCCCATGAGGAAAGTCCCCATACCATTGCCACCGAAGTGAGCATCTTCACGCGCGTCGGCATCGAGCGAGTCATGCGATATGCGTTCGAGACAGCACGGTCGCGACCACGCAAGAAGCTGACCATGGTGACCAAGAGCAATGCCCAAAGACACGGCATGGTTCTCTGGGATAAAGTCTTCTACGAGGTTGCAAAAGAGTACGAAGATGTTGAAATTGACAAGATGCTCGTAGATGCCATGACTGTGCGCATGACGCTACATCCTTCTACGCTAGACACTATCGTTGCTACCAACTTACATGCAGATATCTTGTCTGATCTTGCTGCTGCGCTGAGTGGGTCGATTGGTATCGCGCCATCGTCTAACCTCGACCCTACAAGAAAGAATCCGAGCATGTTTGAACCTATCCACGGCTCTGCGCCGGATATTGCAGGCAAGGGTATTGCAAACCCAGTAGGCGCATTCTGGAGTGCTGCTGAGATGGTGCGATGGGTTGGCGAGGAAAAGGCAGCGGATGGGCTTATGAAGGCGATTGAGAATGTCACCGCAAGAGGGATTAAGACGAAGGATCTTGGCGGCAATGAGAATACCAAGGGCGTCACAGATGCGGTGTGTGCGGAGATTGAGACACTCTTCAAGAGTGGCTGAGTGGCGTCAGCATGAACGACTGCGCAATATGAGATATATGTACATACCCATCGCCAATACAAAGTATACCACTTGTGTGCCAATTTTCCATTACGAAGGGTATCTTACTCTCATTCCAAGAACAACTCAGGAGCCTCACTCCGTCCCTCCACGACCCTACTTCTCATCCGCTTCTCCCTCTTATTCCTCTCATCGCCCACCTCTCTCAATCTCCACCAGTCCCTCCAAACCCTTACAGCCTTACCTTGAATCAAGCCCTTGCTAACAGGCCCAAAGTCGTTGCTATCCAAGCTCTTCCTCCAATTATCCCCTTCAAGCCACACATGTCCATATGGCACAACCACCTTGCCAACTTCTGGACCATCCCTAGCCGCTATACTGTCCTCATCATGATCTACCAGCCCATCCGGTAAACCCTTCAACCTCGCCTCATAGACTTGCGGATCAAGCGCATATCCCCTTGCAGGATAAACCGTATCTCCTTCCATAGCGACAATGCGTTTGATACCCATCTCGCCTGGTTTATGCGGTTTCCAAAACGTTACGACGTCACCTCGTTTTACGCTCCAAACCTCCTTTTCTTCTGCTTTACGAACTGTACTATAATCAATCGTAGCATGGTACGGTATCACAATGACGTAGTCTTCTCGGCCAGTCTCGTGCGCATCCGGGCTGAGTGTAGGTGCCATGGAGGAACCGCGGACGTGCTGTATTTCGAACCAATTGTCGCGTATGAAGAGCATGGCGCTGATTGCCGCGAAACCGTTTATGCCCCATTTTATGTAGCGTCGGCCTGTGCGGGCGTGGCTGGTTTCATGCCATCGAAGCGGTGGTGGAGGAGGACGACGGACGGGGCGCCAAGGTGATGCCGAGGTGGATAGGGATCGCAGCGGGGCTCGCGGACCTGGATTTGCCAGTCTGATCGGTAGGGAAGGCCTCACATACTGTTTTGGCGCAGCAGGAGGTTTCGTAGGGAAGCGGATGGGAGATTTGGGTGGCATTGGCAAGATTGGCAAGGCGACGGGGTCGTCGAAGGCGAAGCGAAGTTGCTCGGCAATACTTGCTCGCGTTGCGTCTGTGGACGCACATGCAATGTGCTCGCAATGTTTCCTTGGGGAGCTATAAATTTATCACCCACATTTTGCACATCTAGATGTTGCATGGCTATGATATTGCTAGCTCAAAGGCGCTGTTTTAAAGCACATGCAGATTGGCACAAGCTGACAAGTTGATGATAACGTGGAAAGTTCAAGAGGTATCGGCGTATATCTAGCTAAATGGCAGCTATAGTACAAGGACTAGTACATATCCACAGCATGCAATCGCTACCATTCGGTCGTTTCAATGCTCGTCAAATCCATAATTTAATCTACTTCAGGGCCTTGATGACAGCGTCGGCGTACTCGAAGGTCTTGGCCTTGCCACCCAGGTCACCGGTGATGGTCTATAGAAGGATTAGCATACATGCTCGTTTCAACGTGGTGGATGCAACTTACCTTGCCCTCGGCGAGAACCTTGAAGATGGCCTGCTCGATGTTGCTGGCCTCCTGGGTGAGACCCATGTGTCGCAGCATCATGATGGAGCTGAGAAGAAGCGCGGTGGGGTTAGCGAGCTGCTTGCCAGCAATGTCGGGCGCGGAACCGTGGACAGCCTCGAAGATGGAGCAGTTGTCACCGATGTTACCAGAGGGAGTAAGACCGAGACCACCGATGAGACCAGCGCACATGTCGGAGAGAATGTCTCCGTACAAGTTGGGCATGACGAGGACCTTGTCGTTGTAGGGGACAGGGTCGGTAACCATCTTCAAGCAGGTGTTGTCCAGCAGCTCAGCGTCGAACTCAATGTCGGGGAACTCCTTGGAAATCTCGCGGGCGGTGCTGAGGAAGAGACCGTCGGACATCTTCATGATGGTGGCCTTGTGGACAGCGCGGACCTTCTTCCTGCCAATGTCGCGGGCGTGCTGGAAGGCGTATCGCAGAACGCGCTCAGAGGCCTCGCGGGTGATGAGCTTGATGCTCTGTACAACGCCATCGACAACAATGTGCTCAATGCCAGAGTACTCTCCCTCGGTGTTCTCACGGATCAGGACGGTGTCGACGTTGTCGTAGGGGGTCTTGTAGCCGGCGATAGATCTGCAGGGACGGACGTTGGCGAAGAGGTTGAAGGTGCGGCGGAGGGTAAGGTTGAGGGAGACGTGGCCCTTGCCAATGGGCGTCGCAAGCGGGCCCTTGAGGGCGACCAAGTTCTTCTTGACGCTGGCGATGGACTCGTCGGGGATGACCGTCTTGCCGTCCTCGTTCAGGCGCGGGGTGACGTCGACCGACTCCCACTTGATTGGGACATTGGCAGCCGAGTAGATGTCCTTGACCGACTGCGCAATCTCGGGACCGATGCCATCACCCTCGATGAGGGTGACCGAGTATTTGCCGTCACTGCCCTTGGTTCCGTGGAACTTGGCCACCTCGGAGGCGTATGTTCGGGCGGAGACCTATGCCGCGGTCAATACTGTTCAATAAGTCGTCGCCCGGAACCTGCACGCCTCGACGTGTCGAGGCGCAAGACTCGTCTGTCCCGCTCGCTGGAAGCTCACCTGGGAGAGCGCGGGCGCCCATCGGGAGCGGTTGGCCTGGCGCAGGCATTGGCGCGCTGGGGCGGCGAAGGAACGAGCAGCCAACATGTTGAGGGTATCGCAGTGTGGCTACAATCCAATTGAAGCTACACTTTTGCTGTGGAAGTCGTCAAGGTGGGTTGGTCGGCGGCGGGAGGGTTGCGCAAAGCTCGGATACAGAAAAAGAAAGCTCCACCGGCCGCGGGATGTCTTCGTGCGTCAAACCGGTACCTTCCGCCTCCGTCATGGCATCCCGTCCGCCCAACGCCCTGCATTCACTCTTGCGCCCTCGGTTAACACCTATCTGCTCGCCATGTTCCTGCGGAATATCAACAACAGCACCCGCTTGAAACAAAGCATCGTGACGCTGCATCTCGCATCCAACACCACTCGGCGCAACGGAACGACTTGACTAAACCCTTTGTCACATGCCAAGTTTGTCACTAGGTTGGCCGTGCCATCTCGGCATGTCTGGACGGGCTTCACTTGCACGATTCAAGATTCTGGTTCGCATGTTGGAAACAACAAAACAATGCCATGGTATCATCTTGGATTGAGACAAAATTTCTTACTCGCTGGAATCACATGCAAATCCCTCACCAAGAGCAGCACACAATAGAACCACACGTCCGCCCATTCCGTCCTCCTCTCAATGTAGCACAGCAGGCTGCGGTTTCCGAACCCTCTCCTGCATCTCCTCCTCGCTCATCGTCAAACCTGACTGTGAATTAGTCAAAGTCGCTGAAGCACGCTTCCTACCACGCCGATCCAGCGCAAATACAACAACTGGGTAAAGGAGAAGAGCCGCACCGGCTATGGCGCCAAAGACTAAAAAGCCAAGAAATATGCGAAATTCAGTACTAGAAGTGTCCGGAGGGTGAGGAGGTGTGGGGAAGACAGAGGTGGTGTTTTGTAGAGTAATCGGATGGGTGTTGTTATTACTTGCAGCTCTGGTTGCCATCGCCGTGAGTGTTCTGGCCGTCTTCACGTGGTACGCCGATATGAGTAGCAGGCAAAGAGAGAAGTTTTGAAGAAAGGGTTGAGCAGCTTAGGGTCGTTGAACCCGACGTTGTGAACATACTTGCCTTACGGTCAGTCACTGTCGCTGTACAATACCCAGTCTTCGTATACAGCGTTTTCTGACTTACGACATATGATGAACTTCTATCCGTCTCTTTTCTCAGGCCCTGCCACCAGCTGATACCAAGCCAGACGAAGCAACTCAACAACAATATTGACAACGACTTGAAAACCATTAGATCCACGACACTGGAGGGACCAACAACCAAGAACTGGAACCCGTCGAAGATATCCTTGTCAACATAGTCTTCTACCAAGGAGAATGGTTGGCTTTATCTGGCCCGGCGCCAGTCCAAGCACCGCTCCGACTAACTCTGCCTCATTGGCTCTAGGCTCGTCCTCTACAACATCTACAGCAACTTCAACAGCATCAGACGGAGGCGTAATCTTCTCTCCCGGCATCGCCGCCCCCGCCGCACCCACCTCGACCGCACTAGATTCTGGTACCTTTTACTCATCATCCATTTCTGTATCGACTTCCACTGCATCAGATGGGGGCACATTCTTTTCTTCACACATCCTGGCATCTGCTACTAGTCCTACGGTAGTTACCTCGACTGCACTAGATTCCGGTATCTCCTACTCATCTGACGTCTCCACCTTTACATCAACGGCATCAGATGGCGGAACATTATTTTCCTCCAATACTCCTACATCCACTGTTGATTCGCACACTAGTGCCCATTGTCTCCCAACCGCACACCTCGACAACCCTCTGAACCCTAATGTGGCACCGCCGATTGATGCTGTACCATCATTCGTTGACTACAGCACACCACCAATTGCATTACCCGAAGTTGCCGGGCGTGCTTTCGACCGTGGAATACCATTTGAGATGCCTAATCTTACGTCTTTAGGAAAAGACATGCCTACGGGGTTATCGTCAGTTTTGACAAAGCGTGCCGTTCCCAGGATCGCGAGTAATCCAGGTCCGATTCTCGGCGCTGTGGTAATCGTTCTGGGTATCGTTCTTGCGTTGTTCTTGTCAGTCAAGTACTGTTTGCGCAGAAGTTCCGGGCCCCACGATTTGGAAAAGGGAAATTACCCGTACACTCGCGGTCGTCGTCGCTACCGGGATGGTTCACCTTCAGTCACTCGTCCTGATGACATTCCAATCTCCGAGGGCTATGGCATGGATCCCGTCGATCTTGCTCGCGCTCAGAACTGGCAAGACGGTTTCTCTGAAAAAGGTGTGCATGTTACCCGAGACTGTGTATATCGAGCCATTAGCGCTGACAACTTTCAGTTGATTCCCATTTCCGGAGGCGGTGACGGTGGCGCGTATATATCTCCGCAGCTTCCCGGCTCCTTCCCAACACGCAAGCTGGTACCTAAACCCCGTCCTGTAACCCAGCTGCCGGTGCCCTCATCCGACCTGCGTCCTCTAGATATAATTGATCAGCCAGTCTGCCCGTTGAGTTCGGACGATGGACAGATTGATCACAACCGTACGCGAGATTACAACAATGTCTCACCTCTTGACTCGCATACAATGCGTCGTGGTCCTTTTGGGTGGTTGTGAGGGTGCACCCGAAAATGTGGTGTGGTCGCTGAAGATGAAACACAAGCAGTTGTCAGAGACGCGTTTTCAGCGGGTGGACCTCGGGGGTTTGGGTTTCGCACATATATCCTGCAATCTTGCTTTTAATCCTAATACTCGTTACTTCAAACACAGTGATTAGTTCTTCCCATCAATGTTCCTTTCCTTATATTACTTTTTCTGGGTTTCACTGTTCTTATCACGGCTTAACTATCGTGAACCACCTTTCGACATTTCACTCGTCCACATTCATTCAACAATTCACCCACAGTCGTTTCTACATATATTTTCGCAACCGGATAATATTCCTACCACGTTCTTTACATAGATAATACAATATGCCAGCGCTTAAATTCCACCACCGCGCGGAACCCATCAACGCCGAAGAACACAAAATCGGTCCTATTCCCTTACCATGGTTTATTCCAATGTGCATTTTTGCGCCATCTTTCCTCGCATTTATAGTATGGGTATTTTACCTGGCAACCGTGAAGCGATATCAAAATAAGAAGCAGCTACAGGCGCAACAAGAGCAGGAGCGTATGGCGAAGAAAGAGGTAGAGACGCAGATGCAACAATTCATTGGGGCCAGCGCAAATAGCGCATATATTCGCGCACCAGAAAGAGCCGTGAGAAGATAGAGAGTAAAGATGAGTCAACTCTATAAAGATGCAATTCCATGGCAAGAGAGATGTGGATGAGGCGAAAAACGGTGTCCTATGCCGGCTTCGAATTGCGCAAACCAGCAGTGAGTAGTGCACACTGACTTTAAGGACCTTACGTTGTTTACTTACGAAATGATTCCAGAGTCTCCAAAGCGAATATTGTGAATGCAATATGTCTCGCAAGTCTTCACATCACATCGGCACCTGGTCTACAAGAGACCTTTGGAGTCTCTTCACCACATTTCATCATTCTCTCTCGACGCATCATAAGATACTCTCAAAGCCGGACTTTCAACCACCTTTGTATCCAAAAAAAAACGTCATCACAACAACATGCCACCATTCTACCCCTATATCCCCAGCGCCGTCGCGCCCACACCAACCCACAACCGCAGCTGCGCGCCTTCTGTGCCTTCCTTCTCTTTGCTTACGCCAACGGTAATATCGCCAGTAGACTCCGCCCCAACATCCTTCTCGACATTGGTGTCCTCACACACTATTAAGGACATTTTACGCCGAATCTCCGCGGCAGATATCCCTGCTCGACCTACCTCAACACTTGGTTTGGCTATGAAAGCAGAAGCCACTGAATCTAGTGGTGACGGTATATGGACTGGTGCTACTATCGGTATTATCATTGCTGGAATCGTCTTAATTTTCGGTATCGCTTTCGTTGTGGTGAAGATGCTTCGTTATTGAGCAGAGAGGGCGGGTTGTTGTCATGAAAAGGTGTTGGGAAAGGGATGGGCTAGATGAAGTAGGGGCTTCATAGTTCTATAGCGATGGAACTATGTGTTTAGGTTGTGATCAAATTTGATAATGATTCAATGACTGGATCTTTCCTAGCTCTTGCTTTTCTTTTCTTCCCAAGTGGCAAGCGATATGACTTGCAGTCATCTTCTACTATTACTGGACGGCGTACCGCTCGGAATCATGCGTATCTACTTTCGCCGCCGTAGTATCCTAGACGCATCTTCAGATGCAGTCCATCCTTCCATGTTGATACCAAGATCATCGAGCTCTGCGTTTAACTCTTGTCATGGTCTTTTTGACTTCATGATCTTTGGGTCGTTGTTGCTATCGGCGCTACACAAGAAGCTGTCTTCGCGTCGCTTTGTGATACCATTAGGCGGGCTCACGGATCGCTTTCTTTTGCCGGTCTTCTCACTAGGTGGTGAGAAGCGGACTGATGGTGCTGATATGAGTGAGGAAAGAGCCTTGAATGTGGTATGTGGTATATCGAAGCTTACAGTCATCTTCCTTATCACCTAAGTCTATGACAACTCGTTGTTGTTGTGGAAATGCGCCAGATGTGACTTTACCCTTCCTCGTTTTTCTACGTTCAATTTGATCTTTAGTCGTCGAATTACTGTTCATCTCCAGTGCTTTCCTGGTGTCGTGATCAGTACCTGTGATTACCACTTCGCGTGTACCGGGCTTACTGCGCAGCATGATTCACCATTCTGTACTCTTCCTCAGGGCTTATTTCTTCGTCACTTAAGAGCTCTACGATCGCAGGAACGAGAAAGTTGCCAGCTCTACAATTGATAGAGTTCAGATGAGTGACTACCGCGCGGAATGCAGCCTTTGATGGCCTGGTTCTTCTCTTAGGAAGGCGTCTTGGCTTAGTATATGAGAATCTGGGGCATTGCACTGCCATGGCGGGAGGTTGGAGTAAGAAGAATGATTAGTCTAGTGCAGTAACACTTCCACATAGCAATAGCATGGTTTAAAAAGAGAGATGGCAATCAGAATCTGTTTGACTAAGAAAGCAAAGTAAGAGTTTGTTACGTTAAGAGGAAAGAAATTGCTAATTATAAGAATTATTTGCGTAAAGACTATTTTCTGTCTTCGTTTAACTTTTAAGACTTCTAAACCACCCAAAATGCCGTTTCCACAAGGCTAACATCCTCTTCCTAATTATTCACAATGTAAGGTGCGTCCTTGGTGGAGACACACTGTGGGTGAGTTTAGTGATGATCATATAGGTCTATAGGACATATGATGATTTGGGTGGCCAATAGACGTTTGAGCGAGTCAGGGGTGGGGAAGCGGCTCATGTGCAGAAAGAAGATATTGTGGTGAGCTAAAGTGTAGGATCATGCAAGGTGAGAAATACAACAGTATGTATCCAACAAAAGCTTTGTGTATTGAACGTCACGATTCAAATTACCATATTATCTCTAGTAAATCTATATACTTGTGCATGATCTGCGGTACTGGACGTGAGGGTTGAGTGCCGTTCGGTGTCAACATTGGATACTGCCCCTCGCATCGCACATCACGACAAAGTTTCGCGGAAGCCTGTCATTCAAACCCTAATCAGAATTGGCAACCATCGAGAGTAATCCAGGGGTCTCAAGCAGGAGGCTCGAAGAAGCGATGTACGCTCTCCACGGGTTGCGGAGTGCGACGTGTGATGGCGGCTAGCGTACTGAGGTGGAGCTCGGCCGAGGCTTCCGCAAGTATTCGAGCGTATGTTTGCAAAACACGCCTCGTTGGTCAGACTCCTGGAAGTAAGACGTCGTCATTTTGTTAACTTTTTCGTACGAAATCATGTACACAACGGACAAACACCGTGTAAGGCGGACGAAACGCTCCCCGACGCCTTGATGAAGGTGAGTACGCATCATGGCTATCCTTGTTAATGACTTCAGGCAGTTGTATTTATATTGCTTTGTAGATGACGGGGAATTGCATCAGTTAACTACCTGAGTACTACATTTGAATTCTGCTATCATCATACAATCTTCCGTGCAATCCTTGCATTTTGTCAGCAAAACATGTGTCCTTACAAAGCCCTAGAGCCTACTACGGAGTCGGAGACCAATGTGTGAGTTCCCAACAAAAACGCTGGTTCAATTCCTTCAGCGAACGATTCTAACGCGCCTACTCAGGGTCATAATAGGTGCTGGCCCCGCGGGTCTTATGGCCGCTTGGTGGATGGCGCGTTGTGGCATCAAGGCACGCATCATCGACAAGCGTGGAACCAAGGTGATCAATGGCCATGCCGACGGGCTAAGGCCACGTACGAATGAGTTCTTCGACAGTATGGGCGGGGGGATAATTGAGAAGCTTGCGAAAGAGTCGTTCATATTCGAAGACTTGAAGAATTGGGTATGCTAACTGTTTGTAATTCCACTGGCAAGGCACGTTCAACTAACCCAAACACAGTTCCGAGGTTCTGAGGGACAACTCATCCGTGCAGGTACTCAGCAGCTTCAGGGGGACTACGTCAACGACCTACCCTCCCCTTTCCTGGCTACCACCATCTCCCAGGGACGTATTGAACGCTTCATCCTCGATTCAATCACTGAGGTCTCCAACGGCGAGTTCAAAGTGGAGCGCGGTGTAGTAGCTGACTCCCTCGTCTACGATGCTTCCCAAGAGAATGAGCCACACAGCTATCCCATCCAACTGACCTTGCGTACGCTTTCCGATATTGAGGCGAATCCACCCCCAGCACCAGGTGCTTTTGGCGGACGGGATATCATCGCCAAGGGCAATTTACCGGACGATGAGGTACATAAGGAGAGTGGTACTAGCGGCTCGCCCGGGCATGTTGAGCTAGTCAAGGCCAAATACGTGATCGGTTGCGACGGCGCACATAGCTGGCTTAGGCAACAGCTGAACTACAAGCTTGAAGGCGCCTCGGCTCACTCCGTATGGTATGTTATCAACTTCGATATGTCCCTAATTTGCACTCACTGACGGTTATTAGGGGCGCGATAGACATCATCCCAATGACGAATTTCCCCGATATACATCACCCTTCCTTCATCAAGACCGAGCTAGGAATACTGATGATCATCCCTCGCGAGCGCAACATGACGCGTCTCTACGTACCCTTGGACAGCGCATCTCCCAACGAAAGGCTTGACCGCTCATCAGTCACTCTCGACCAGATCTTCCAAAAAGCCAAAAAGTTCTTCCAGCCGTACACACTAGACTTCAAAGTCTGTGAATGGTGGAGTGTGTATGGGGTCGGACAGCTTGTTGCCGAACGCAACCAACATCCCTCCGCTCGCATCTCTCTCGCCGGAGACGCTGTACACATGCATTCACCCAAGATAGGATTGGGCATGAACACAAGCATGCAAGACGGATACAACCTTGGATGGAAAGTTGCCATGGCAGCAGCTGGCATAGTTCGCGATGAGAAAGCTCTCCTTACGACTTATGTGGGGGAACGATACCCCGTTGCTCAACGACTCGTCGCTTACGATCGAACGCTTTTCGGTGAACACGGGATCGTCGATCCCGACGAGTATCTCAAGCAACATGAGCGGTTCAAAGAGTTCGCAGACGGCTTCAAGCTCGATTATCCGGAAAGCATGTTAGTTGCCAAAATGTTGTCCAAACAAGCTGCTGCGACTGGGCTCATTGTTGGGGAGTCTTTCAAACATCAACGAGTTTTAGGCCACGTAAACTCGCAGCTGTACTGGACTACCAGGCTATTTCAGAGTGACGGCCGCTTCAGGATTGTCCTCTTGGCTGGAGACGTGAGTCTGCCAAATCAAATGGCCAGAGTCAATACGTTCTGCAAAGAACTTGACGAAGAGAAGAAAGACAGGAACGGTAATGCGACATCGCTTCTTCGCAACCGATACCCATATTGCTTCGTCCAGCCCTCGCCTCCGCTGTTGCGGAATGTCCTGGCCACCAGCCAACATCCTGCCATCTCTTTCCTCCACGAAAGACCCTGCAAGTCGATGATTGATCTTCTCGCCATCCACAGCGCCGTTGGTAGCACGGACTCTATCTCAATGTTTGACTTCCCTGTCGCACTGTACGGCCCTTTCGACCCTGATTACCATGGCTGGGACCACGCACGTATCCATGTTGATCAGGCTGTGCACTATGACCGCTATTGCGATGGTTTGGCGTACGAGAGATGGGGCGTTGACAGAACGAAAGGTGCTGTCATTGTAGTTAGGCCTGATATGCACGTGGGGTGGGTCGGTGATCTAGAAGATACACAGGCTATAGAGTTATACTTTGCTACTATCTTTAAGTAGGTAGAGTCAAGCGATCAAGCACTCGCAGCCTTAATCCACTAGCTATTAGCTTAGCATGATAAGAAGGCTTACCTAATGTTGCATTTGTTAGAAGTTCTATCTGCTACGCTGTTTACTGTCAGAAAATAGCTCTGCACTATTATACTATGTAACTAAAAAGGTACGTACAACTACTAAACAACTAATCATAGCGCAGAATATTATATATCGTTAGCTAGGCCGAACACCTACTTACAAAACTTATGCCTGCTACTATGGTATATTGAAGGCTGTTCTAACTTAGCTACCTTGACAATTACTACTGCAACCGCGTTGAAGAATCTCCTCTCCTCATTGTCTTTTTCCTTGTCACTTTCTGCAAGTCTGAGTGGGACCATGAAGATCATCATAGTTTGTACAGGAGTGTCCGGCTTGGCAACGGATCTACAATTGCGAAAAGTCCTACCTAACATTGAGCGGCACGGAGTCTTCATATACGATTCATTCGAGTCTCAAAAAAGTGCTGTTCCACGTGCTACAGCCTCCAAGAGCCTTACCGACACCACCGCCGTAGTCGGTAATAGCATCGGGCTTACACCTCATGGCGTGCGCTTTTTGCGATATATCGATGAAGACTTATACCACCTTTTCAGATAGAGGGGGCATGTGAGCAGACCCTACACATTCAGGACTACAAGGGGCTATACTTTAGCTGTTCTATCGAGCGGAGACGGCGGCTTTCTAGGAAAGTACACGATATCATGACTGAGACATGAAGTTCAAGAATACCTTTACGAACCAATCAGAAAAGACAACGTGCAACGCGGCCAGTCTGTAGATGTTTAGTTGGAACCCGACAGATCAATCGTCAGGTTTGTAGATGGCGCAACGAAGACAGCTGATTTCGTCATCGAGGCGGATGGCGTTCGTAGGGTTGTCAAACGAGTCATCTTCGGTCTGGGAGACAAGAAACGGCATGCAACAGTCTACAAATAGGTTCAACATTCTCCGATTCTTGCTCGACGTTGGACTGATTCCGACTGTAAGGGTATATGCGGTATAGGAACTTTATAAACTGCGACCTCCCAGCACACGTGACACCAGAACCAAACATGGTTTCCACCTTTGGTCCTGTAAAGTCCTTCGAGTACTGCAGTGCAGCGCCTCAGGAAAAGCAGCTAGTCGGCTGATGGTCATATTGGTGACTGGCAGACATTCCAGAATCAAACCCGATCGATCTGAAGGAAGTCTGCAAGCAACTCATTGACGGCTACGGGTCGTGGAAGACCCTGTGATGCAGGAAATCATCACCACAATGTCGTCGGACCGGGTTTATCCTCTGTAAAACACACCGGAATTACTGTATCGGGGCAGAGATCGAGTCATGATTCTTGGCGATGCCGCACACACGCTTCAAGCAAACAGTGGAAAAAGCACTTATCAAGCATTAGAGGACATCGTTGCGTTTAATCTGCTCTATCTTCTTATCCTACCCGATTCGCCTCGGGTAGAAGTGCTATCAGCCTTGCCACCAGGCGACTGTATAAAATCCGCGATCCGCAAGTCTAGAGCATCAAGTCCCAGACTCGCAACTTTTTCATCATGAGAAGTACAATGTCTGAAGTAGTTGTCAAATACGCCTTGTATTTTTTTTATCTTTCCCTGAACCAGATTTCTCGTTCTGAGCAAGTAGCAGCATGGCGTCCACCACAGTCCGCTGACTGGGATAGGCAAACCTTTTGTGGGACGCATATTTCGCGAACCTAAAACACCGAATGTGCAGGAACAGGTGAGGCGTTGCTTGAAGATCGTGTGAGATGTCGATGCACCTGCGGAAGAGAAGACTTGTGACATTCGCGACGATGCTTTTGCCCGCCACTTTAGCGCCATGAGCAGAAATCTGGCCCAAGTAGACAAGTAGATTCTCGATCGCTGAGTAACAAACTTTGGATTGCAGAATGTGTACTGGGGGAAGCTTGTCTCTTGTTAAACATAAATACTCTTATCCTGAAGTTTGAAAAAACTTCGGCAGAACCATCTTTAGGCAGTAATGTTACGCCAATCAAATTGTACGTCGATGCTAGAATTATGATTCGTTTCTACTCACGATACGGCAGAGAACTCTATGGCTTGAGATATCGTAGGGATATTCGTACGCTTTGCAAATATGCGTATAGAAGCAAGGAGTGCAGAGCTGAATTAATAACATTGCCTTTTTAGGCGAAGCCGACATTAGAGGTCTACAGTCTGATTCGCGCGCGTCCATCGAAATGTGCGCAAACATGCTCTCAATCCTGGCGAGAACACTGGACGCCGCTAGTCAGAAAATCAACGGGGCAAACCAAGTATTTCTCGAACGTGGTTGGAAGCTTCCCTCAACTCGCTCATCAACAAATTTCGTCCACAGAATGCTCAAGTAATTCGGCATCCAGGGGTCAAGTGCGACAGAGTCACAGCAGTGGTGGGTCGGGGACAGGTGAATTTGATTGCGGGTCTACGCTGATTTTCTGACTTTCCCTAGACCATTCTCCGATCACTGAGCACCCTACATTCACCGCGATAACGCTACCATGGAGCTCATATGGCTCTTTGTCTTTTCAGCGATTCCGATCGCTCACTCAAATTTAGTCTCCAGCAAATTTCCTGGGTATGGATTTTTGTGGTACGACCCTAACTGCGGGTTCTCGTGCTACAATGCCGTCTCCACACGCCTATGATGTCCCACGACCGACTCTGCTGATGGCCACTCAATGGACATGCACATGGACATGGACATGACTTTGAGACCGCCAATGTGAGCCTGCCAAGCGCAAGATCTCCCCTTCTTGGAGTCCATAGCCTACTGCATGAGCATAAGATGTAGTGCAGACATTCCCATCTGGAAAAGAGAAAACTTCTGGGCTACGAAACTTATCAGCAACGTTGTGCCAAAGTGGACATGCTCGGTAATGCACCAACAGTCGGCCAAGCCGCGTACATATTCTTCTTCATCGCTCTCAACGTCATTTTGTCCGCGGTAAAGTACAATAATTCGCAACCGAATCCATGGGGCTTCGCAAAGAAAGAGGAAATTCTTGCTTACATTAGCTATCGAACTAGGCACGTCAGTTATGCTCTTCTCCCACTTGTCGTTCTCTTCTCGAGCCGCAACAACTTCTTACTCTGCATCACAAACTAGTCGTACGGAACATACCTTGTGCTGCACAGTTAGGTCGCTCGCACCTTCGCCGTTCAAGCCATTGTGCACAGCATCACGCTTTTGTTGGCGTATAAAGGATCCGACAGCTACCCTACCGAATCTGTCAAGTCATATTAGTTATGGGGCACTGTCGTTGCTGTGTTAACTTGCGCCATGCTGGTTTTGAGCATGCTTTATTTCCGTCGCACCGCCTACGAGTTCTTCCTCATCCTTCACATAATCCTTGCCATGTTCGTCATTGTAGGCTGCTAGTACCATGTCATCCTAAGGTAGGGCTATAATTTCTACTGCAACTAGCTCTACGCTGCCATCGCAGTGTGGTTCTTTAACCGCGCTGTCCGCGTACTACGCGTGTTGAAGAATAGCCTGCAGTATGCCGACGTTACCGAAGTAGGAGATAATTACGTCCGGATCGACATTCCCGGTATACGGTGGGCGGCGAAGCCGGGCTACGTTGGCTACGTTGGGTTTCCAATTCTGCACCCACTGCGACCATGGGAAAACCATCCTTTTTCCATCAACTCTTGCGCCTTGTTTCGCAGATATAAGCATACGCTAGCATTGACGTCTTCGAACGACTCCCCGTCAGATAGCAGTCACGCTGGAGGGAACTTCGCGGACGACAAAGCACCGGCGACCCCTGATACGCGCGATGTGACGGACTCGGCAACCACGGCGGGCGTTTTCTTCATCAAGAAGAGAACAGGCATGACGAAGATGCTGAGTAGAAACGCTCGACTGCTTACAATACTTGACGGACCATACCCACCCTCAGCTAGCACCTATGCCCTGGATATTGACCACTTGTCATTGATAGGCGGCGGTGTCGGTATTACTGGTCTTCTCGGCTGGATCCCCGTTCATACCAACGTCAAACTGGCCTGGAGCGTCAAAGCCCAAGATCAAGCTTTAGTGCATGAGATGAACATGGCTATTGGCAACGTCGCTAACAAACAGGTTTTAGTCGGGCAACGTTTTGCGATCAGTGAAATCTTGCAGAAGGAGATAGATTCTAGCTACGAGAAGGTCGGTGTTGTCGTATGCGGACCTGCGGAGATGTGAGACGAAGCTCGAGCCTTGGTGGCCGGGCTGGGCAGAGGCAACAGGACGGTTTTTGAGTTGCATGTAGATGCCTTCAGTTGGTAGACTGGTTCAGCTGCGCCAAGATTACAGATCGACGCTCGCTTGTTGTTCATAAAAACGAAGGAAATAAGAGCTTGCTACTTGTAAGGTAAGAGGAATTGCTAATTGTAAGAATATGTTTTTGCGCAAAGACTGTCTTACATCTCTATTATCCTACCTTGAAGACTTATAAATCTTGGTGAACGTTCAATCAATAATAGAAAGAACAAGAAGACAATAAAAACAAGCAAGTGTAAAACATGATAATACTGCAACGTGAATTCTAAGACCCAGCTCTTCGCATACACCCTATACTCTTAAGTTAAACCTACTCTATCTGTATATCGTACGAATTATTCGTGCTACTATCTATATATTTCTAGCTCTTCTTATACCTCTCAATAGTCTTGAATTATATGCAAAACGCGACTGTATATCCATGTCTAGATCCAGTTGATCATCAGCATCTAGTATCTCAATGTCGCCATCTACACATCTGTTGTGCACATCAGTGCTGGTAGAGGGGGAGGAGTCATTGGAAACATTAGAATCGAGACTGTAGTGGACGAAGTTGTCCAGAACAACAAAGTCGCGGCCACTGCTGGTTCCTCTTGCATGCGTAGGATTCGTGAATGCCGACATTCGTTTGGCGCCTACATTCGAGCGGTATTTCGTGTTTGACTTCGTGCTTTTAGCTGCTCGAGCAAAACTTGTAGACTTATGGACCTTGTAGCTTTCAGTGGTGGCTTTGATGGACGAGTTGCTGTAGCAGTGCCGAGATCGGGATGTGGCTCGTCGTCATCCCATTCGAATGCTGGATCATTCGAGTCTATCTTGACCACAATCTCGTCACCATCTTCATCTACTGTAGGTCGATACCGTACTGCTGGTGCCTCGTTCATTCTAACAGCTTGTTTCCTGGCTCGTAGTAAGTCACCTTCTTTATCGATGATGAGTTGCTAGAGATCTACGACAGCAAGCGTAGGTGCTACAGCCATCAATTGAGCGACTTTGCTTCTCATATTGAAGTCGTCAATATCTAGGAGACTTATATTTATATCCCCAGGCTTGCACTCCTTTGGACGCTTGGTCCCCGACTGAGTCCCGCAGGGAGTTGACGTAACAGACATGTTAAGAGTGGGGAGTTCCGAGGTTCTGGCATCAGCCGTCGTGGTCGATCGGACATTTGAAGTAGCGTTCGAATATCTACCATTCATTGTTAGAGATATTGTGATGTTTCCGAAGTCATCACAAACCCGAAACCAGTGCCCGCCCCTTGTGTTCTTATGTTTTCGTCAAATTCTGTTGTCGCACTGCGAAACCGGCGACGTTTGCGTGATATGGCAGGCTTGTGAGTCGCTGCTTCTTCCTCAGCACTAAGAGGGCTTTAGATAGCATCCGAGGACGCGCCTCGGTATGCGAAGGTGTTGACAAGACTCTATGTCTTTTTATTGCCTTTCAAAACAATTTTTTCCTGATGCCTTGTGCTGCTGGTAGACGCGGGTGAGGAGCGGCGTAAAACAAAGACTGTGGGCACATGGGTGTTCTCGAGTGACGCGTCGATGCTTCCATTCGACGTATCTTGGTTCCTTTGAGATCTTTGAGGACTACAACTAAAAGCTTGTAAATTCAGATCGACGAGCGAGATAGCAGATTGATGACGGGCCGGATTACTAATGTTAGCGTTGATCTGAGGTGTATTGTGTGTCACCTGTTTGAGCTCACCGCAAAGGAGTTTTTATTAGCGCATCATCATCGCTATCGAGCGTGATTGGCATTTTTTGTGAGGCGCCTAATTGAGTATTGGGCTCGATTCTAGAGCTATTTTTGTGTGCCTCGCGAGCAGGTGTTTGAGGTTTTCGCATTGCCCGACCGCGCTTCTCTCTCCCCATCGCCGTACCCATATTGATCTTCTTAGTATTGGGTTGGAAGCCCATCCTGTTTTGTTGCTGGTGGGCAGACCTAAGCTTTCTTCGCGTAACAAGATGATCGAGCTTAGACAGCTCCAGTAACGATGCAGTGTGAAATTGTGGCGGTCCGCATTGTGTTCACGGATCGTCATTACCTGTATAACAACTCTGATATTGACTGTTTGGACCGTAAGGTAACAGTATATATGATAAGTTATGCTTGAGAAGATAGGTAGGGGAATAGCGCAGGAACAGTAACAGGGCATACCGAAAGTGAAGGTGTGATTCAGCGAGCGTCATGGCGTCGGAACCAGATTGTCAGAGAGCGGTATCGTTGGGCACAAAGACAAGAGCGCAGCGGCGTTTGTCGCACTGGACGCTAACACAAGGAATCCACGAGATGATCGTCCATGCACACATCATGTATGTTACTGCAAAACGGCAGTGTCATGAAGTTTCCGAAATCAGATTCACCAGTTGTCAAATGAGTGCGACACACAACACGTCTCGTTCTGCGAGGCAAAGAAGAGAACCCTCAGCAATTGCTGGGTGAGAGAGAGGCGGCGTAGAGGTTGTGAAAGACCGAGAAAGAGAGATAGCAAAAGGACACGAATGCTAGTCAAGAACGCAGGAGATCAGCTCGCACGGGAAGAGCGCCGTTTTGAAATGAGAGTCAATGAAATATGCCCTGCCTTATCAAACTGTTCTTGTGCACAATGCTCAAAGTGATCGCGATCCACTAATCATTCTCTAGTCCTCATCTTCCCAATACTCTTTCGGGCCATCACCCCATGGCATACGTCCAACCTGCTGAAAATACTGCGGCAGTAGCCGCGTCTAGACGTATGTTCTTACGCGTGTATTCAACTTGTTCACGTTCAATAGTACTGACTTCCCACGTATCGCTCGATCGCTTCCCCACCGTACTTTTGAACTCCTGCGCGTTTCAATCCTTCGGAGATCTGTGGCTCTGGTACCCATACCCCAGTCTCACACGCGTAGTAAATCCTCCTGTGATCCTTGTCCTCCGGCCCATCGTCACCCCACTCCGCTCTCTGGCCTGGCGCGTGATATGAAATGTGCAGTTTCCCTGTCTTACCCACCATATCAGACGTAAGCATGAAGGACTCGAGAACTGGCATCTGAGTAACGGCTTTTGCAAGCGCGCCGAGAAAAGGATCGAAGATCTCTGGGTCGGGGTGCTGCCGGAAGTCTGCCCAGCTGAATTCGCGTGTATCGACACTTCCAATAACTCCGTGCTCGGGGTCATCGTCGGAATCGTAGGCCGGTGTTGGACCAGTGAAGTACCATTTACCAGATGGAGCGACCATGTCAAATGTGATGTCAAGCGACTTCAAGTGTGGCCAAGACGGTGGAATCGCGTTTTCATCTGATGGCCAAAATAGCGTGGGGTCGACGTGCGCACTCAAAGTGAGAGTTGTAAGACATTGTGAGAAGGTTCGAATTGATGAACTGAACGGGTCGTATGTGTAGCCTTCTGGCACAATGCTCGGAACTGTATGCCTCTGATCTGAGGGAGTGCAGTGGTAGAAGATGATATTGGCAGAATTGAGCGAGCGGAAATGCGTCGTCGAGAGCTTGTTGGCAAATTCAGCGCGCGCTGAGGCGCGCGCCTTGGGAGATGTCGCCGACTCCCACTCCGGATCAAAGTCTGAATCCAATGAATCCTGATCCGACCCCGCGTCAGAATCAGCCTCGCAGTCTGGAAACTCCCAGTCCACTGTCCTGAGCTCTGGCAGTGCCACACCTAAATCTGGTGCAACGCTTGGTGCAAGTCTTCGCCCGCCCCAATTCTCGATAGTGAGATGCTGCACATTAGATAATGTAGGCAGATTCTCGGGTTGCACAAGGCGCAGGTGCGAGTCTGCCCAACGAGCGGATTGGATATCTCTGCATTCACCAAGCTCAATCTGGAGCTCATCCACTTCCCGAAAGTCTGTTGGCGACGAAGCTCCCACAATGTTAAGCCGCACTCCGTTCTTCACACCATTATCTTCCCAGGTTCGCAACACGGTGAAAAGATCGCTAACAGCTTTCGTAAATGCCTCGTTGTTGGCATGCTGATCAAGTCGTGACTCCTTGTGTTCGTATGCTTCTTCCGAATATGTTGGCAGTTCCGCTTTGAAATTGATCCAGGAGAGGTACTTGCGGCGATTTCCTGTTACAATCGACTGAAGCAATTCCAGCTCATCGCTCTTGACACCTAGATGGTGAAATGTAATGGTCTCAACTGCTTCCTTCCAAGTGCGATTGAGAATGGCAAGGCGAGGAAACTGAGATGGCGCACCATCGGGCTTGAAAGATTGTCCTATCGCCGAATGCCACTTTCCTTGGTCTGGGTAACGCTCTGCGAACCACACTATACGATTGATCAGCTCCTGTGGCAGTTTGTCCATGGCGCGAATGAGGTAGGAAAGGAGCGCACCATTGTTGTGGGAACGCTGTTGAGTAGGTACACGAGAGTACCGAGGCGCTAGCAAGGGTTTCCAAACAGACTAACGGTGTGGCGCCTTATGATTGATCGCCATTGATTTGATCGTCAGGTGAAAGGTGTCTCATGAGTCTGAGATCTTATCACAAGTGGAGTAGCTCTCCGAACGACAAGAGCATTCGATTGTTATCATATTGACCCTTAAAGATGCGCCCATTCGCCGCAGCGACGTCACATCAAGCTATGATGTCTCAAGTTCTTGTTGCACAAGCGCGGCAATTGTCTTCGAGAATGCTAACGTGTAGATATACAAAGATAATTACATGGAACATCCATTCAGCTTCGGCAACATGGGGCTTACATATACAGCGGCCTGGTGCGATATTCATTATTGAGAAAGCCATGGTCGACAAGAATCGTCCGACACCGGCACAACAACGTCATTTCCAGCTTGTCCAAGCAAGTCAGAGCCTTGACCAGGGACATCTTGATTGCCGGCACCAGCCGTTCCAATATATATGGGAGGTGTGATGAGATATGATCTCTAGCTACCGTGAGGTGCATTGCCTATGCAGACGGCTAAGTGCTGCTCCAAGAACAACGTTACAACAGACGAGTGTGGCATATCGCACTCGTACATATCTGTTTATGCGGCTACTCCAACACAGTACCAGTAATCTTTCCAGAAAGAACTGCCACAAGCATTGCCATTATCCAAAACTGCATTCCACGCATATAGCTGCGCATCAGATATCCCGTTTCGTTCAGCGAACAACTACAATTAGAGTTAGTCTTGGAGCGACACAGAACTGTATTTCATGGACCTACAGCACACCAGTCTCCTTCTTGCGCCTGAGCAACTTTGTTGCATTCTTTGATCGCGTTGTTTGCTTGATTTGGCGATGGGATGACGAAAGCACTGGGAGTAGGCGACGGTGGGAGAGCTGATCTGCTCACGCTGATCGAATCCGAAGTTCCAACACAGTATGCCGATCCCTGCCAAAAGTTGTCGCGGCAATCATTCGACACGGCGGGGTTCCAGGCATAAAATTGCTCCAAGGTGATGAAGTATTTATTCGCAAGAATCGAGCAATCATCGCCTTTCTCGACTATGTGCCATCGAACACAGTTCGCAGGCTGTCCAGTGTGCGTCGGTGCCCCAGGTCCCGGTGCAACTGTACTGCTAGGAGCAACGGAGGTTGGACTAATGCTCGTAGCGGGCGGTGGGGCATTGGGCGACTTGACGCAGTACGCCGTTTCTGTTCCTCGGTCAGCATGCGCGATAATTTTCCAGGGAATGAAAGGTGTGTCACCGGTCCAAAGATTTGCACAAGTTGAGCCTACAGCCGGATTCATCTTGAAGAATTGAGCCAAGGTGAGATCGAACAAAGCCAGAACATCCTCGCTGGCAAAATATGTGAGTGCTTGAGCTTTTCGACGTGTTGTTAGAGGCACTGACCAAGTAAAACCTTTAGACACATCCCTGAACTCAGTACAGTTTGTGTCATAACCTTCCTGTTTTCCAACTATTAGCTAAAATGTGTCGAACGTGCGAAGTTGCGCTCACTCTGATCGGGAAATCCAACGATGTGCCTACTTCGGGACCGGCCTTTGGCGGCTCGAAATAGAACCTTCCACAATAGCGAACCCCGGGTTCGAAGCTGCAAGTGAGAGCTTCTGTATCGTTGCCGAGTGAAGGGTTCCAGGTGAGCAGTTCGGAAACCTCTACGCCGTATACGTCTGCAGCCAAATCGCATTGGTGGCGATACAGAGTCCCTGTTATGTCACTTTCCATCTGTGATGCGTCGAAGTACTGGTAACAATCGTCTCTTGTATCAATCGCAAGGCTCAGCTGTGTGGGCGTGGATGTTGTCGTAGCAGGTTTCGTGGGCGTAAAAGTGACTTTGGTGACTTCATACGGTCAGTATGTGACGCACAATATGCATGGTGAAATACGTACACGGTAGTCCCGAAGGACCGGGAGTGTGGTAGCCAGGTCGCCCAGAGTAGGTGTTGACTTCAGTTGGTCAGCCGAAAACTTCGATTATCTAGTGTATCAATGTACTCACTGTCTCCGACTGGCGCTACACAATAGCTGATATCTAGCAGCAGATTGGTGCAGTTCGCGTTGATGGATGGGTTCAGGAATACGAAATCAGCCATTGCTATCGCATATCTCATTGTCACGAGGTTGCAATAGTCTCCGCTCTCAACGTTATACCACTGCCCACATTGTCGATTCGATTCGTCCTTCGCATTGGTGGGCACGGGTGCTGCGCTGACGGCTGTACTTGGTGCCAGAGGTGGCATAGCTGGGGGAGTGACATATGCTACACCAGGATTGGAGATGCAAATAGAAGTCCCGTTCATCTTATATAAATTGTGGCAGCCAGCGTTAATGATCTAGGTACGTCAGAACAGTAGTAGAGAAGCGAGACCTGCGCACCATGCACTTACCGGATTCCAGGCTTTCAATTGCGCGATGGTGATGTTGTTAGAGCTAGCCATGAGCTCGCAGGTGTCCGCAGGTTGTACAGTGTAGATTTTGCATGTGTTCTTGATGCACAATTTGCCATTTTGTGGGAAATCGGCGCAATAAGCAGTAAGAGAATTGTCTGAAAGCAGCCAGGCTGTTCCTATGCTCTGAGACTTGGATATCTTGTAGCAGTCATCGCCGGTCTGAATATCGTATTCCTCGCCACTGCAGACCGCTGATGTTGGTGTGGGACTAGCAACTGGAAGTCTGCATAGAGTTAGTATGGAGCTTTGAACAAATATACATGTTTTTACTCACTGTGGGAAGGGTAAAGACGAGATAGACAATGGATAGCCCGTCACAGCACAACTGGATGTTTTTGACTCGTACAAGGAACTCTCTCGAATTTGAGGTCCGTCGTAGTACGGACTGCCAGCCTGCTTCTGCAGATTCTTGATGAAACACAAATCGCAGGGTCCAGAGGCTTGCACGCCGCTTGGTGGCTCAGTGTCCCAGCCCATTGGGCTTTCTGTGCTGATTAGAATGATTTTGGAATTGGTGTATCGGTTTACCTACGTCCTGGATCTGATTGCATGGCTGCAGCAACCGCAACTACATTACACCAGCGACCCGCGTCCTTGAGGCAAACAAGATCGTGGTTGAATCGCATAACATTGGCAATCAAGTCCAGTGGTGCACCGTCTATCTCATCGTATGCTGTCCAAGTTTGCCCGGTGCAAGCTGTGGCAATGCTTGCTTCATACTGCTGAAGAGCAGTAACGCAGGCGCTTGTGCATGCCTTTTCCAGCACCGAGGGGGGGTAGTAATATCCAATGGCAAAACTAGCCACGGTGGGAGGACATTGTTCAACGTCTGTAAGAAGGGCCGTCGCACAATCACTGGTCAGATTGGATGGGATGGTATTGTTACTGAAGAAGGGTATCGCAATGGCCGATGGGAGATACCAGAGGGGTAGCAGAAGCCGCAGCAACATTCTGGGACTATGCGAACGCATTCCTGTGTAAGAGTCAGTATTGTCGTGTAAGAAGTCTAAGACGGTCCACGAAAGACGTACTCACAAGAACAATTGCAACCAAGAGCGACGATGCAGGGTGATTCTACTGCAATTCACATCGAGGCATGAAAGCCTGTACAGCCGCACTACATGGGGCACCTAATCGCTCGGCATTCCATCCTGATCATTGTCTGGCGCCGGTGCGGGTTGCATAAGTCTTGTTGGGTATTAGCAACATGTAAGACCCCAAATCTGTTCAGCAACAGGCTAGAAAGCGAGCCCTGAGGACGGAGCACTCGGCGCGGCCCGAATCCGGATGGAATGCCTGGTGCCAAGCATAGACCTTGAAGCTTGGCACCACTGGGAGTCGGAAGATCAGTGAGCTGCAAATGTTCTATCCACTGACAAGATTTACGCCCTGCAGATGTTCAGTATTAGCTTTGTCCTTGTAATCTCCACCGCTTCGATTGATTTCTCGGTCGCAAGGTTGTCATGCCTGCTTTGAGAGTACGGCCGCGCTTCAGCCATTCCAACCTGAGCGGCGATCCCGTGGCGAGAAGGACAGGCTCGGCCGCCGCTGGGACGGCCTCTATGTTATAGCACTGCGCGCTAAAAACTCATTCGATATGGAAAGTACCTGGAGACATGATAGTTCAACAACTACCTGGTATTGCAGGCATATCTTCCGAATGACAAGATGACACTCAGTCAACGTGGCTTGTGTCCTTCCTAATACTTAGGTAGAAGCTGATATTATTTCCCGAAGTTTTAGCAAGCGAACCCGAAGGCACCAATGCGGTAAAGCGCAAATATAGACGGGGTATCATGTCTGGGCCGCATGGTAAACTTCCCGCGGCATGTCTTCCAGTACAAGTCTGGAAATCCAGTCCGTTAGCTTGGTCTTGTATGCAGGGGCGCGAATTGCACGCGTACTACTCGCTGCTACGGTGACCGCTGATACTCAGGCGTCCATTGAGTCCACGGCAGGTCCAGATGGGAACGTTGATGCTAACGTACTTGAGTTGTGGGTACCAGTAAGATGGACAGCGTCCGTTTAGCCAGAACATTTCTGAAAACTCTCTTCTTCAGTCCTTGATCTTGGTTTGTTCCCTATTGTTATCAGTGGGATTAGACACCGAGATGTCCAGATTGACCTCCGCGTTCGTACGGTGGGCGATTGTCTTGTGTGTGTTGCTCTCCACTGCTACAGCGCATCAGTCGCACGCACGCTTTCACCATAAGAGGTCTCACGGGCCACCAACTTGCGTGAAGCCTACTCAGTATGTATACGAACTCTGTGAGAAGTAGCACCTTCGTAGCTGACTTGAGTTTAGTCCGTTCGACTATTCTGCGAAAGAAAAGTACACGGAACTTGCACCTATTTGTCCGCATCTCACCCCACGCGCTCTACAGCCAAGAGCTGAAGAGGACTATTCATGCTCTGAGTCTAAGCCATGCAAGAATGGGGCCTGCTGCCCAAAGGCTACCGGATATTGTAATTATGGTGAGAAGTATTGCGGCACAACCGGTCAAAGTCCCAACGATGTTTGCTGGTCAAACTGCGATGCCAAAGCGGAGTGTGGCAAAGACGCTAAGATACCTGGTGCGAAATGTCCGCTCAATGTTTGTTGTTCAGAATTTGGGTATGCTAGTCAAGAAATTCTCGATGATACCAGCTTACAGCCCACAGCTTTTGCGGCATGACCGAGGAGTTTTGCGACAAAGGTACCGAAGACGAACCAAAATGCCAGAGCAATTGCGAACAGCCAGGCTCTGGTGGCTCTGGCGGCGATGTTCAGAAGATAGTGATCGGTTACTACGAAGCTTGGGCACATGACAGGAAATGTCAAGGCATGGTGGGTCAGGCCAGTCAAGAGCGAGTGCAACATACTCATTCGATTTGCAGGACTTCAAAGACATCCCAACAGGCGCACTAACTCATCTCTACTTTTCCTTCGGGTACATCTCACCTGGCACTTTCGATCTGGTACCGATGGACGACCTTAGCCCCGATCTATTCTCGCAGTTTACAGATGTCAAGAAGTCGAACCCTGGCTTGAAAACGGTCATTGCTCTTGGCGGCTGGACCTTTAACGATAATGGCACCGCAACTCAGCCAGTCTTCAGCGACATGGTCAGCACCGCTGCTAATCGCGCCTTGTTCATCAAAAAGTTGTTCGCTTTCATGAGACAGTACGCCTTCGATGGTGTGGACTTTGACTGGGAGTATCCTGGAGCAACTGATCGAGGTGGTAAGCCTGAAGACGGCAAAAACTTTGTTACGTTCTTGAAGGAACTTAACGAGGAGAACGATAAACAGCTTATACATTATGTTGTCTCTTTCACTGTTCCTACCAGCTTCTGGTATCTGAGACATTTTGATCTGAAAGCTGTGGATTACGTTGACTTCGTCAATGTTATGAGCTATGATCTACATGGAGTAAGTCAAGCCATATCTTTGCCTCCCGCTTCTTTATTCGTGTGTATCGGAAATTTAGATATCGAGCTGAAGAGACAACACGATTTTGAGGAATTGCTCTCCTCACAAGCTTCATGGTGGCTAGTCAAGGTTTCGGATGCAGCGATAATATGCATCATTATATTATTGAGCAAGCTCTAACATATATGTCTAGATCTGGGACTCAACAAATCCAATTGGCAACCACATATATGGGCATTCGAACTTGACCGAGATCAAGCTAGCTTTGGATCTTTTCTGGCGCAACGACATCAAACCAGAGAAGCTTAATCTGGGGCTAGGGTTCTACGGTCGCAGTTTCCAGCTATCAGACCCCTCGTGTTACCGACCTGGCTGTAACTTCAAGGGCGGAGCATCTCCTGGTCCCTGTTCCGACAACTCAGGTACCTTGACATACAAAGAGATTCAACAGGTGATCAAGCAGCACAAGATCAGTCCTTACTATGGTAAGCAGCCACGCCGAGACCAACACATGTGACAGATCTGCTGACCACCTTTCGAACTTTTAGACAAGGAGGCTCAAGTCAAGTACATCACCTGGAATCAAGACCAATGGGTTTCGTATGATGACAAAGATACATTCAAGGCGAAGATTGACTTTGCGAACAAGCTAGGTCTCGGTGGACTACTTATTTGGGCAATTGATCAAGATACGGATGATTTGGATGCTCTTAACGCCGTCGTCTCTCCAAAGTCTGTCAAAGCTCTCGCAATGACTGCCGATGACGCCTCCTTTTGGGACGATGCCACAGTACCGGATTGTTATGTCACTGACTGTGGCGGCACTTGTAAGGCTGGTTTCTTCAAGATTGAACAGCAACCATGCGGTGGCGCGAAGCCTGTCACGCGCAACTCCAAAGAAAAGGACAGCCAGCTGTGCTGTCCAGTTTCCAGTGCACCCGATCCTGACAAATGTCACTGGCGCGGTGAAGCACCTCCATGTAATGGCCGTTGTCACGACAATGAGGTACTACTTCAGATGAATAAGTGGGGTGACGGGAAGTACTGTGAAGACGGAAACAAAGCATATTGTTGCGAGTCACCTGCGGCTAAGGGTCATGACTGTTACTGGGCAGGCGTCGGCAAGGATTGCAATAACGATGACACGACAATGACCTTTTCAGGCACTTTTCTTAGCACGATTGCCGACATTGCAGACGCGATGACTTTGATTGATAACGCTCTGGTTAACTGGCTCGAAGCCGTTGACGTCGACATGCAGAAACGATACTGCTGCCCAAAGAAAGATGCCAAAAATTGGAAGAACTGCCGGTGGTACGGAGAGCCCGGATCTTGCTTTGACAACCATTGCCCGGTCGGAAAGCAAGTGCAACTCACGGATAGCCCGTACGGTTTTGGGCAGTCCTGTTTCCCTCGGCTGGAAAGGAACAGAGTCTACTGCTGCGACCCAACGGATGGTAAACAGCTATTTCTTCCGGTACCACTTGATCGGCTATTCAGCGAACCCCCGACTGGGGACGACGTCGATACGGACTTCGAGCTCAATGTGGACGATACTTTTGGTGGACAGGGCGACAAGACCGACGATGACCCTTCGAATGCTGCATTTCAGTTCGTCGTGCTTGCATCGCCTAAAGAACTGCAACACTCTCTCGATAAACGCGATGGCTCTCATTGGGAAGTGTTCAATTGCCAAGGTGGGCCAAGTGAAGAGGAGCAAACCATCCAGATGTTTTGCACCGACGTCTCGGAGAACAACAACTGTCAAAATATTGGACTTGGACACGGTGTACCCGGCACTATCCTTGAAATGCCAGCTGGCTGTGGAGCCGGCCGCTATGCTGTCGCGAAACACATGGTCCCTGCTGTGAATCAGACAATTCCGCACCATCTTCGGAAGCGAGCATCGCATATGCCAATGGTCTATGATCTGACCTTTGATTACAACTTCAGGCGCGTCCCCCGCGATTCTGGTGATACCCAGATGAGGATAGACTTCTCCAATAAGAACGACTACTGGGACAATGTTGTCGCAGCTGCAAGCACAAAGCGTAAATCCAAACGCTCCTTGTCCGACTTTGATGGCAATCATAAGAGATGGCTCGAAGAAGAGTGGCGGGACGACTACCACGGTGGTGTTCTTAGTCATGAAGAGCTTCACAAGCGATGGTTCGGATCCGACGTGCTTGCTTGGCTCACGAACTTGGTCAGCCCCAAGATCGAGAAAGAGTTTACACACGACGTGAAGGAGCAATTTATCGCCAAAATCATTGACGACAAAGTCGAGTGTGGCACAGGACCAGCGAAATTCAATGCCCATGTTTTGGTGCAGGCTCTCACAGATGTCGAGATCTCCACCAGTTTTGGTTTCACCCTCATCACTAAGCTCAATTTCGATAATAAAGGCGGCTCTCTTGACCTGAGCCAGTCGTATCTCACATTTAGTAACAGTGGTAAGGTCACTGCTGTATTCACTCTCGAAGCTATGATCAAGGTTTCGTATGAGTCGGGAGAGAAGACAATTCTCACTCTTCCCTTC